AGCACATCTGGATGTATAATCTGAATTAAATCAACTGAAGCTGATAAGCCGTCTGCTCTGCGGGCAGTGGAGACCAGGCTGGACATCAGGAAGGGAGCTGACTCTTGAAGCCGTAGTTGAGTTCAGCTCCGCCGCTGAGCAGCAGGTCTATCCCGGTGCAGAAAGTAGCGTCTGCAGCGAGATACAGAGCAGCCAGTCCGCTCTCCTCCTCTGTCCCCATACGACCGAGAAGCTGAGTGTGAGAAAGAAAAAAAAAAAAGAGGGTCATTTCTCATTCATGCTCAGCATCCAAGAGCACATTTTTTGTTGTGATTACAGCCTGCTACTTCCTTGAGTTTATGACTCCTGCAGCTGATCCCAGTTTGATTTTGAGTGCGCTATAAAAAGGCTGTTTGGCTCTCAGCTATTTGCTGAGTAAAGAAATAATTTCCCTAATTGTTTGAAGGCTCGTCTGATGTTCTTCACTCCAAGGAATGAAGAAGTTACTGAAAGTTTTCTCAAGTCAAGAAAGTTGTTTTTTTTTTCTGGGAGGTTTTTGTCTTTATTAGATTAAGACAAGTGAAGAGAGGAAATGATGGAAGGAGAGAGTGGTGAACGACAAGCAGCAAAGGGCTGAGGTCGGATTCGAACCCACGGCCGCTGCGATTAGGACGACAGCCTCTGTACATGTGGTGCACAACTGCAGATCACCTAACTTATTCAAACCACAACATTTTTGTAAAACCTTGTTGACATCATGCAAAAGCTTTTATAAGGACATGACAGTTCTTTCTTTAAAGCCCAAAAATAAATCTCAAAAAACCCAGATATGACATTACAGAGCAAAGTATCAATATTTGCAAAGGTTTTTTTAAAAATAAAATCATCATATCCTGCTTGAAGAAGAGGCGTGCTGACTCCTTCGAGTGCAACGTCTCAGTTTGTTGCATCACCCATTTGGCTTTTTCACAACTCCTCTCACTGGGATGAAAAGACAGTTGTAATTTGCATGACAATAAAAGGCGGCCTTGTAGCAGAGCCTGATTTATATTTAACGGGTTAGGGAGAGCATTCACAACCCAATCGACCGACAGCGGTGTGCATAGCAGTCAGCAACGTTTCTGTCAGGAGGATTTCACGGTGCGCCTCCATTCCTTTACTCGTGTGCTTTCTGTTTTAGCTGCTGAAAGGTCAGCTGCCGAGACACAAGATAATCAATTAAATGTTCTTTTTAACCCAGGGCCTTTAAGTTCCTGTTTCAAAACATCCCTCATTTTTTGAACCCCACGGTTCCGCTGGGAGAACTCACCTGAGAGTTCGCCCCGTCTTTAATGGCTGCTGCAGCATCTGGTGTCTGAGCTGCTAGATCTTCCCACAGAGGCGTCAGAATGTTACCCGGTGAAATGCTGCAGCACAAGAACGGACAGAGTTATTTGTAGAGAGAGGTTGCTGTTGTTCATTATGTCCTGATCCTGCGCAGATACTTCATTTAATTGATGTTCATTTAAAAGGAGAAAAAAGAATGTTATAAAGTCAGGATCTCCTGGTTTACAACGTCGACTCCAAGAGACTAAAGCCAGCTGTGTTTATAATTATAATCTGTACTATCATTTTAACAAATGTGACAAAAGTATGTTGGGTGTCATCTTCGTTTTCTCTCTTCTTAACAAGTGTTGTTGTTTTTTTTAAATAAACACAAGGTACTTGAGCCCTAATGAAAGAATAAGTGCTCATTGAAGACTTCCTACAAGACGTGTGAGGGAAAGAGGAGTGATCATCTGAAGCTGGAGAAACCAGCCGGAGCGCTGAAACCCAGTTTTTGCCTCACCAGTTGACTCGCACATTGAAGCGACTCTCATCCACAGCCATCGCCTTTGTCATGGAAATGATCGCCCCCTAGTGGAAAAAAGAACACATTACAGGTCTCCTCTCTGTCCTCCGCTGCAGCTCAGGGCAGGAACAGCTAAGTTGCCCGGACGACGAGCTCACCTTGGTGGCGACATACGGCACAGCATCTTTCTGACCGATGGTTCCCACCAGACTCGACACGTTGATGATGTTTCCCTGACGCTGTCGCAGGAACGGCAACGCATACTGAAGAGAGAGAGAGAGAGAGAGTGAGACCTCCTTCAGTTCAAAGATATTATATACAGGGCATTTCATCAGGTGCAACTTTTCAATAAGTCCTGATATAATAACAACAGGCTAAGTATGTTGCACCCCTTTGTTTCTTCTCATGTCTCTGCTGTCCCTCTCTACTAATGGTATAAAATCCCCTTATTATAAACTTCATAGTGTTGATAAATTAAATGTAATCAGGTGAGATTTAATTTCACAATTAGCCTTCAGTTGCTGATAATTCCATTAAAGTTATGATTGATTATTTTCTATTTATAAATAAAGTTTTACACAGATGTTGTGAGCCTTACTTTGGCAGTCAGGAAGTAACTGATGAGGTTCAGGTTGAGCAGATCTCTGAACTCCTCTGCTGTGGTGACGTCAGTGGGTTTATGAGGAGGGTCTAAAAGAGGGGAGAGAGAAAACAAAAACAAATCGTCTATACTCTTATATTTAAGTATCAACCTCTTAAATGTCAGCACGTCTTCTGTGTGGACTCACGCCACCCTGCGTTGTTCACCAGGCAGTCAATGCATCCATAAATCTCCACCGTGTCGGCCACCAGTCTCTGCGGGAGGAGAAACCAGTTCAGCAGCTGCACTTCAGCCAGCAGAGCAAACAAGCAAAAGCAAACACAGAGCTGGTTTTTAGTCACACAGAGTTTGGATTTAGGTTTGAAATGAAGGAGACTCAAAGATCAACGTTTGAAAATTGAGATGGGAAATATTTGATTTAACTGCCAGAAAAAAAAAAGAAAAAAAAAGATCTTTGGATCTGAGTCAGGTGATGAACAGGAAACACTTTAAACCACAACACGTCTTATGATTATGACTTTCTACTACAGGTTTACTACCTGCAACACTAAACACTGTCGTTACCTTGATGTCTTCCTCTTTGGAGATGTCACATGACATAAATTTGCAAGAGCCTCGCCCTGATTTGTTTAGCTCAGCCTCAAGAGCTTCACCTGCTGGAGCTGCACAAACATCAAGCAATTCAAAATAAATAAATAAATAAATGAAAAGTGAAATGAAAAGTCCCCATTGGCAATATTTCTAAAAGAGGAATGGTTCAGTGTAATGTGTATAGGAACATCAAATACATTTTATTTAGCTCTACTCATTGTGAAAACTGTTTTGTTGTTGTTTGTAATGTGTCTGTATGTTGTTGTTGTGGTTTGTTGTCTATTGTGTTAATTTGTTGGTCCTTGTAATTAAAAAATAAATACATAAAATTAAAAAAAAAGTTGAAAATATTCTCCTGAATTCCGGTTATCACAGAAGCAAACGGTGCATGCAAACATTTTTAACTTATTTATAAATTGAACACATCTTTCCCAATGGGCTATACAGTTTTGTAGTGAAACGTGTTATCACGTAAAACAGGTTTAAATGACTTCAAGCAGATAAAAAAAAACAATATTACTAACCTCCTCTTGCACAAAACACAACTTTGGCTCCATTTTCCACTAAAAGAAAAAAAAAAGTACAGTTTGCTTAATGCATCTTTTACAAAAATATACACAGAAAATAAATCGCAAATAACGTTAAATATCATACCAAACACTTTGACAATCCCCCTGCCAATCCCCTTAGATCCTCCAGTGACAATCACAACTTTGTCCTGGTAGCGGAGGGACATTTTGGACAAGACGATGATAAAAACGCTTCCTGTTTCAGTGTTGAACACAAATAATGGTTTATATTCTGTCTTTCTCGTGTCTACTGTTTCCTGCTTGTCTTTGGCTCTTCCGGTGTTTCCACATTCTCACATTAATCTCCCTTTTGATTTGAATACGCAGTTTGTGTGATAAGTTCAAAGTTCCTCAGAATCATGGCGTTTGCAATGCTGCCTTCAGGTGCCAAAGAAAGTGTTGGAAATGACAAAGTTCACACAAAATAGTCAATACATGAGGGATTTCAAACTACTCAGTTGTTCAAAATAATAGAAGACGTTTCTCATAATTATGTTTTGAGAAATGTGTTTTCCAAACGAGACAATGGTTATGCCAGTCTACCCTCATCAAAGTCACAGCTTTACCACTCTTGATTTTTTAAAACTTTAACACCCCCCCAATAAGAAGTCTTTAAGGGTCACATTTCTTGATGATTTAATGTCTATTGATCGATATTGAACAGTCAGCAACATGTTTGATTCTGAAAAGTTAGCAAAGGGTGAATTTGAAGGCAAAATTCGCAAACTGCTTCTGTCATGAAATCCAGTTCTGGGAATTGTAGTTTCACTGCATGATGCCAAACGAAGAGGCATGACTTTAGACTTTATGATGTGTCTAAATTAAACTCAGACATTCTGATTTATATTTATTTCAAAACGAGGTCACGTTTCTTTTGCCATGTCCCCATTTCAAATTCTTTCTAATTTTAAAAAACTTGGCACAAGACAGTCAAATGTTTGAATCTAATATAAAAATACACAACAACAGCAAAGTAATGAAAGCAGGTGGAGGTCACATGGAGACGGTGGCAGAGAAAAAACTTTAACTACCTGTTGGCGGTCCAATCCCAGACTGTAAATTGTGGTAATCACTACCAAACTTAAAAAAAAAAAATATTTGATCCTCTGCTGTGTGAGAGTGCAAGTTCATGTGCAAACATTTACAGTATGTTTAGGAAAGAGTGAGGGGTTAAGAGGTTGACATCTCTGGGTGTGGAATGGTTGTTGGGGGGAAGGAAAAGGGAGTAGAAGTGGCAGCGGTGCTCTTGCAGGAGGAGAGGGTCAAAGATTAAATTTCAGCCCAACAGCATTCCCAGAGGAGTTACTGAGCGTGAGAGAGAGAGAGAGTGCAGGGGAGCAAGTGAAGACAGTGAGTGACCTACAACAAGTTTAACTGTTTTATCTTCAACCACGCTGCAGATTCACACCGAAGCAGCCACTGAAGGAGCCACGCTGCCCCCCCCCCCTCCAAGACCTTAAAGGTTGGGGGTAACATAGAGTAGAAAGAGGAGGAGGAGGGGTCGTCTGGACGCTATGATGAGGGATTTGATACACAAACTGTCTCAGACAGAAGTAAGGGTCAGACCAACAGACTGCCTGAGGTGGATGTACAGTAGGAGAGTCGTCATGGCCCCTCGGTGGAGGTGTGATTAGTTCAGCAGCAGCTCGGGGAGGTACGACTGAGAGAAGGAGACCTGGTCTGAGTTTGGTGTCTTCTGAGTGCCCTGGACAAGGTGATTAACTGGTGATGAGTATGAAGCTGAATGCATGTCGAGATCCTTTTGCTTTATGTGATATATACAAAAAACATTTATAATATTGTGGAAAGCAGTCTTATCTTTTTTCCATGCTGACCATAACTCCTAACCCTTAACTTACACAATTTGTTGTAAGGTCTATATTGTAAGTGCTGTAAAATTGTCTACCTAAGTAATTATATCGTAAAAGCAACATCTACTTTTCTGAAATGAAGAAAAATCGTGAAAAATCAAAAAAAATAAATAGTGATGATACTGGTCAGTATGTACATCATACATTTACATACACTGTAAATAAGAAGAGGAAATGGCTACAGTGATGTCACCCATAAGTTTGTTGGCGACTTATTTTTAAGATTCCAGTTTGGTATTCTTGCCCATCTCTCTATATTTTTTTCATGTGGCAAAACGTAGGGTACTTTTTGAAAAAAATGACGGCCAAGTCGTCTGACTGTCTTTAGCTGTTTTCACACATGCACTCTTGAAAATTTTTAGAAAATTTCACAAGAGTCAGAAACTTCCTGAGTTTTTTTATTGACCTATACGTGTCTCACAGTGCAAAGTTTTCCCTGTTGGACAAGTGGTTAATGGTGGGGGGAGGCTCTGTCAGGACGTAAGAAATAACTGGTAAACCAAGATGGCTCACAAAGCAACAAATTGCAATGTTATAACTAAGGGAAAATGTTTCTGGAAGTATTAAAATCAACTTATAATCAGGTGATTTTGTAATAGACTCCTTTATTTTTCAACCTGGTAGGTCAGATATTCACCCACCCAGCATTAGATTCAACCTCTTTAACCCAAAGGAAGAATCCAGTTGTTTTAAACAGTATCACATTTTTGACAAAATACAAGTTACTATCTGTGAAATTTCAGTTTTGTGCCAAGTTAACCTTCATTTTGTTCTCTCCAGAGTGAAGAGTCACAAAGAGATCAAGTAAGTCAAAAAACACTGAGAAGACAAGATTGAGAAAGATGGATAATCAAGACAAGGGAGGAGACACAGGAGGAAGAGGAGGTGGAGCGCAAACAGGAGACAAACAGAAAGCTGAGGAAGTCGGTGATGAAGACAAGCGTACAAAAGACAAAAACAACAAGCTGGAGAAGGAGGGCAGTGAGAAGGAGCCGGGCAGGGAGGCAAAGGAGGAGGACCGCCGCCTCCCGTGGAGGAACGGCTGGGCTCTGACTGAACGCCTGGCTATCAATGTTTCAGGGATGCGCTACGAGACACAGCTCCGCACCCTCGCTCAGTTTCCAGACTCTCTGCTGGGCGACCCAAAGCGTCGCATTCGCTACTTCGACCCCCTGCGGAACGAGCTCTTCCTGGACAGAAGCCGAGTCTGCTTCGACGCCATCCTGTACTTCTACCAGTCTGGCGGGAGGCTGAGGAGGCCTGCCAATGTCCCCCTCGACATGTTCCTCTCCGAGCTGCGCTTCTACGAGCTCGGAGAGGAGATCATCGACCATTACAAAGAGGATGAAGGCTTCGCTAAGGAGGAGGAGAGGCCCTTACCCACCAATGATTTGCAGCGTCGCCTCTGGATGCTGTTTGAGTACCCAGAGTCTTCTGGAGGAGCTCGGATCATTGCCATCATAAGCGTCTTGGTCATTGTGATCTCAATTCTCATCTTCTGCCTGGAGACTCTGCCTGAGTTCAGGAATGAGAAGGAAGTGAGGGAGGTGAGGATGGTTTGCATGGTGCTGATACATCTGAGAGCTACTTAATGAATATCAGGAGACACAGAAATGATCAGAAGGCAACAAATGGAGGTTATGTCATTGGGTATTCACATAAAGGACAAAGACGGTGATTGAAGAACAGTCAGGGAATTGACAAGGTGCAGAGAGAAGAGGTATTACCACTTCCACGAGGTTATGAGGTGAACAGGTGCTGACGGGTGTCAGCTTGTCAAACATAAACCAGGTCTTTCAACACAAGTCTAGACATCATTATGTCCTCTTAACACTGAGGTGGGCATAGTTGAGCCAAACCAAAGATGATTGGAGAAAAAAAAAACATAAATGCTAAAAATTAAGTTAAGGGATAGCTAAGGATAGAGTATGGAAGGCTTCAAGGACATTTTTACAAAGATTATTTTGGACTTAGTCGTTAAATCTGATCCACTCAGTTTTAGGGGAAGGAATGGAGGAGAAGAGGGCACTTAAACTTCTGTTGGAAAAAAAAGTAAGGAAAGACTAATAAGGTCAGATAGGACTATCTTTGAGGAGAGATATCTTATAGAGATGATATGCCTTGTCAGCCACTCAGGGGTGACTGCCAAAGCCAGAGCCAGAGCTAACAAGTGCACTCAGGTGGGATTGATATTGCAGAAGTTCTAAGAAGAGATAGAGAGAGTGGAAGTAGTAAGACGCAAAGAAGCAAGTGTGAAGGGAAGGAAAGGAGATGAGCTTGTCTCACATTACCCTTTGGAGATCTAAAGGGCTATATATAGAGGAAGAACAACCCTAAGGGCACATCAACACATAAACGAATGTCTATATTAATAAATGGTGTCATAGGCTAGACGCGGACAACAGCATTAAAAAAAAGAGGCTTGCAGATCAACTTTTCTGATGACCGCCACAAAATGAAATTAGCCTTGTACACACTCCCGTAACCTGGAGACAGGAAAGAATCTGCAGAAGTGATACGCAGCAATACTTTCTGGATTTATGTTCCCCATCACCACCAATGCTACTCCGTTACAACCATACATAGGTAGTTAGGATCATATGATCGGAGTATTTTGAAGCTTTAAAAGCTACAGTAACAAAACCTATAAGCTAAGCCTTTCCCACGCAGTCACTCATTCTCCAGATGGTGGTCAACACCTCACCAACAAAAAATGATTGGTTATTTTTGTTGGTACCCATGTTGTTGGTTCTAAATTACAAGTTATATGTCCTTTCAGCTGTTTATGGATACTAATCTTTTCATTAGATTCTACAGCCATGCTTTCAACTAAGGGAGGCTGTGGAAATACACAACTCAGTTCAGATACTGTAGACCAAAATGGTGGACCAAAAAACACAGGTGGACATTTGGGCATCACCAATAGGGATGCTGAGTTGACGAAAGCTGGCCTGAAGTAGGATAGCAAAACAACCTCAACATCCAAGCAAAATCTTGCCCTCCCAATTTGAATGAAGTAACAGCTGTCTTTACTCTCCCCAACAGTCATCCTTCATGCCCTGCATGACCCATGCAAAATTGAAATGTCTCTCAGGCAACACTTCTTGGAATGACCTTTCCTTTTACTCTTTGTACCTGTGGGGTTCCTTAGTGGTTACTACATAGGACAATGGTTTGCTTCTTACTGCCTGCACAGTTCCAATGACAAAATGTGGAGTGAGGTATGCAACGAAAAACTTACAAAGGATCATACTAAAGTTAAGTATTTAAAAGGATCCGCACACTGTATTTAAAACTCCCAGCAAATTTAATTTCAAAAGCAACCTTTCAATCTCACAGATCAAGTCCTTGACCATTAAAGTAGCTGGGAGCTTTAAATACAGTGTGTGGATCCTTGCTGAGCTCTACCTCATCATCCACTACCATTCGTTGGAGGTTTTAATGGACAGGGAAAGCCATAATCATCCACTCTGACAACAATGCAGTTGTAGGGATCATGCCTCAGCCACCATCCAGTTTATGTTGCAGACTCAATCTCTGCTCAACACCAGTTCATCCTCAGGGTAGCAAACACCATTGTTGACTCAATGTCTTGTCTGTCTTTCCAAAAATGCAGACACTTGATCTCAGAATCTTATTGTCATCCCATACCAGTCCCACAGTTTTCAGCTAGAACATCCTGGAGGCATTCCTTAACAGACTTGCCCAAAATTCACACTCAGCCTGCCTAGCTGGCTTATACTTAGAATAATGTCAATCACTATGAGTACTGCTTTTACTTCTATACTATCTTGAGTATTGTCATGCTGTAAATGTAGGGCTAATGTGGTATGCTTTCTATGAATTGCATATGTGAATATTATCCAGATCTATTGATTACATCTAATAAATGGTCCAATCAGCGAATCATCCCAGGATAGGGTTTTGCTGAAGCAACCATTAAAGTCTACGCTTTGCTTCAGAGGGCGTATTACCCAATGGTTGTCTAAAAAAAATGAAAGTCATGTCTTTTCCCTTCCTATTCTGACATCTAATGGCACAACAAGATATGTTCCACTTATACCAGGAATCTGGCTTGCTTTTCCATGAGGTTGATGGACAGTGAGAATCATAAAAACGTATAAATACATGGTGTTGTCAGCAATACGTGCTACAAACGTAGCCGAAGCTTAGAGTAATTCTATCTAACTTGTTAAAAACAGTAATGCCCAGTCATTTCAAACCTGCAATTCCTCTCCAGAAGAAACAAGCGGCTGGGTAAGATCAGATGCCTTGGCTGTGCTGGTGTCTGGGGTGTAACGCAACCCTCAGTCACATGAACTTCATGTTTTTTTGTTTGTGTTTAAATATAGAGGTACCGATTTACATAAAGTCCGCGAGGAAACATTAAGCCAGCAAAGTGAAAATAGAGAAGAGAGAGAAGTTAACACAGTATCACAGATCTCACAGATCCTGATGACTAATTCATTCTCCAAATGTACTAAGGACCAACTCGTGTAATAATCGCTTCTTCTTACTTATCCTATCTCTCTCCTGTTTACTTCCACCTTGTTTACTTGGTCACTCTCCTGTAAATATAGTCTCCATGGAGATATTTATTATAGCCTCACCTTTACCCTTTAGTCTCATTTTCCTTTCCAGCCCATGTCCAACAGATGATAGAAAACAAATGCTATCTGTTCAGAAAGCGGCTTATATGCATTAGCTATCTTAAATCTTTGCATGCAACTAAGCACTTTCCTCTCATTCCTTTCTTTTCCAGCAATTCACCACCATGCCTCACCCGACCCATCCGAATGAAACCATCTCGGTCCCACCTGGCTTCACTTTCTTTCAGGACCCCTTCTTCATTGTGGAGACAATCTGCATCTGCTGGTTCTCCTTTGAACTCTTTGTGCGCTTTGCCTGCGCTCCGAGCAAGGTGCATTTCTTCAAAGACGTCATGAATACCATTGACTTCTTCGCAATCATTCCTTATTTTGTCACAATAGGCACAGAGCTGGCCAAGGACAAAGGCGCACAACCATCTGTGTCCCTTGCCCTCATTCGGGTCATCAGGCTGGTAAGGGTCTTCAGGATCTTCAAGCTTTCACGTCACTCAAAGGGCCTACAGATCCTTGGGCAGACGCTGAAAGCTAGCCTCAGAGAGCTTGCCCTGCTCATCTTCTTCCTCTTCATTGGAGTTATACTCTTTTCAAGTGCAGCCTACTTTGCGGAGGTGGACAGTCCTGACACAGCATTCACCAGCATCCCCGAGGCTTTCTGGTGGGCAGTGGTATCCATGACGACTGTCGGCTATGGTGACATGTACCCGGAGACAGTTGGGGGAAAGCTGGTGGGCTCCATGTGTGCCATCGCTGGTGTGCTCACCATCTCATTGCCAGTACCTGTCATAGTATCTAATTTCAGCTACTTCTACCACAGAGAGACGGAGTGCGAGGAGACGTCGCAGTACAAACATGTCTCCACAGAACTGTGGGAAAAGGACGGGGAAGAAGATGGAGAGGAGCACAATGAGGAAGTAGAGGACGAGAATCCTGAATACATGGGAGATTATGCCCTCATGTATGGGCAGAACTGCAGGGGTGTCTGCGCACCACTCAACGGGACTCTTCTGACAGGGCTGTGTGTCGGTCAGGCTGTTGGGGATCAGAGAGGGCTAAACTTCTACCTCAAAGAGCCTCTGGTCACTCAGGTGTGATCAAAGGCAGGACCGACTGAGTGTTCTCAGAATTACACTCAAACCTCGCCTCACATCAGGAAAAGAAGAGTAGAACGAATGAAAGTTACAATTAACTGGAGTGACACAAGATAAGATAAGATACTACTTTATTGGTAGAACACCTATGTGTGTAAAAACATTATCCCTAGTTTGTGCCTTTCTTGTCAAGGTCATTACTTTTTTCAACTTTTTCATCATTATATTTGACCCACAGATATACAGTATACAGAATATATTTGTATGTATCAATAAACAAAATTTAACCAGTCTATGCACAACTTTGCAGGTGGTTTTTCCACGACTTATTGCCTGATTAAAGACGTGTCTTGAATCCTTGAAGAGAATGACTGAGGTGCTGCATACTGAAGTATCAGTCACTGCAAATTATCTGATCGTGTAAGGGGAATGGTGGTATCATTTACTATGGATGTGCACATGTAGAGTAGCTAAATGTACAACAAGTGCTGCAGGTGTTGATGTCTTACTTCTTGTCAGAGTTATGGCAGAAATGTGTTGCTGCAATCTTGAGCTTAAGACGATTACAAAGAGATCGCTCATCGGCTGACAGGGGTGCAGACAGAGTTCATGTTGTAGATGTAAAGCTAGCATGTATGTTACACAGTCACATAGTATCACAGATACAGCCTGGAAAGACGTATGGTGAAAGATGATATCAGGCCAGAGATGGTGTACCTCAGGGCCAGCTGACATTTCTGGGGTTGTGGTTGTGAGGCCAGACTGTAGTGTCATTTGACCGATTCAACACTGTACTCTAGTAGTCCAAGGCGCCCAAATACTTGATCAAGCAAGGAATGCTTTTAGTAGTGTTGCTCCCTATGTTTGCCAAGTTTGAAAGGGGTCGTTGTAAATAACTTCTTGACTATTCGATTGAAGTGAAAGACTCTCTTAGGGGGTAGGTGGTTAAGTGTTGGTACAATATTAAAGAATAAAACCTTTTTTTTTTCTCTAGACAAAATTAGCATCCGTATCAATATCATACTTCTTTTTTTCAAAGTAATTTTTAGGCCATTTTTTTGCCTTTATTGGATAGGACGGCTGAGGAGAGACCGTAATTGCTGGAAGAAGAGAGTGGGTGATAACATGCGACAAGGCCCATGTCGGATTAAACCCACAGCCTCAGTGAAGAGAATTATTCGCTGTTTTTATAGGGTGCGCAACATAACCTTTAGGCTATCTGCTGCCCCATCAATCTCGCTTTATTTGAATTAGGAATGATTGAAATCCAAGCTTGGGTTAACAATCGCTGACAATCTAGCATTTGCTAAGCCTCACCCTTCTTTAGCTCCACTCTTGGTAGTTGACCCAACGCTTGCTTGTGGGATTATATATCCCTTCTGTACTGGGAAGGCCTTAGAAACCTTGCTAGGGATAGGGACCTCTAGGTTGACTTTCTTAGCCTGCTGCCACTACATATAGACCCAAGACAAGCAGCAAAAATGGATGAATGACTGTCCATCTGAATGCACATTATGTTACAGACAGAGGAGAGAGACTATAGATGCTAGTGGTAAACGGTAGCAAACCTTTAACATGTTTAGTAGACAGATTTGCCAAACAGTGAGCTGTTACATTTGCAGTATTTTTCCATCAGTTGTGAGGAAGCATCTTAAATGTTCAAGTGCTTTATTCAACTGACCAGCTATTATGATAGAATACTGCTCATATGCACTCAGCCATATCTTGTGAAAACTATTTGAGTTTTTAAAGGCTACTAAGAAAGTGTTTGGCAGTAGAGCAAGAGTTTTATTAATGTTTTGTTTGACACATGTAATATTCTTATCACCACTGGAATCCATTGTAGATGTGTTGAATTCAAGCTAACGTTCGCTGCTTTATTTCTTAGGAACAAAAAAATATCCTTTTTTTTTGTTTACATGTAAAACCATTGTTGATTGTAAGACAATTGTGTTAATGTTGTGACTGTTTGGCTGTAGTCAGTCCTGCCTACTCATGGAACAGATGGGGCTGTCTTATGTATGTATACTGTATGTCTTACTTTAATCACTCATTTCAAGGATTTCCAGATTCCTTCCAGATGACTTCCCGTTCAGTGACCTGGGAAGAATGTGAGGTTTTCTCAAATCTAAACAACTTTCTTTTTAAAGCATTATGATGTGTAGTGTTTGTAGTTTTATTAGAAGGTCACGTAGACTTCAGACTTTCTTAAACTTTAAAGTCTTAAAAAGCCTTGACTTTGAATGTGTGCTTACTCTTAATTTTGTACTTTCTCTTTTTGTTTGTTTAAGAAAGAAAGAAAGAAAGAAAGAAAGAAAGAAAGAAAAAAAGAAAGCTCTCTATTGCTGCATTTTCTTGTGTATTTGCTTGTTTTACTATTATCCCTTTTGTTGCATTTACTGGATTACTTAAAAAAAAAATGTACTGTGCTTTTATGAAGAAGCCCCTAGAGGCAAACTGTGATTTGGGGCTCTACAAATAAATCTGAACTTATCCACCTGGATACTACAGTTTCTGCCAGCCGAACAGAGATATGAGTTGTGTGGTAAGCTGTAGGTCCATTGCATGTGATGAGTGATCTTGCCTCTAGATGTCAGACTACGTTTTTAAAACAGCTCCCATTGACCACATGGCCCAGGACATCTGTGTAACTCCTGCTGCCTTTGGATCTGATTTACAGTAACATGAGAGTAAGTGAATGCAGCATTCTTTCGCTTGAAACGATCATGTTCATTCATATGATACAATCCAGATGACCTAGGTTATTTTCATTCCATGTCATAAAACAAGATAGTTTAGTTTCTGGGGCAGGAAGGAAAAATGATATCAACTGGATAAATTGGTTACAGATTTCAATAGAACCAGAGAGGTGTAAAGGTGTAATGTTTTTCCATATTTGGTATGAGTTATTAAATGAAGAATCACATGCAACTATTATCATCCTTAAATGATTTAGGGATAAATTTTCCAGCACAAATGTTAATATTTGGTGGCTAAAATCAGACAAAGAAAAGAACAACTGGGATTTATCTTTGAATAATTGAATACATGTTTAACGCATTAAAAAACTATGATTGGAAAATTATTTTTTACACGAGAAAATTTTTCTAAAACACAACCAAATTCCAATATTCTACAAAATCTCTATTTTATTATTTCTTACAACTGAATTCGTTGGAGAAAACCATTTTTTTCCTCCTTTCATTTACATTAATCTCATAGTTTTTTTCATTGAATTTGATGACCGAAGTTTGTCTGTTGTGTTTAAGATTACTGTTTAAGTTTACATTTGGTACAAAGCCATGCATGTATGTTTAGAAAAAGAGAAAACATTTCAGTTAAGTTTGTTGGATATGAAGAACCTTCCTGTAAAATAATTATCAATCAACTCAAAATATGCAGGATAAAAATAATTTATTAAACATCTAAATAATTCCACTGGATCTTTAAGTTTCTTTAAACCATACCACATTGTGTCCTTATCTGATTTTTTTGGTGAAACATCCTCTCCCTGAAGCTGTGATGTCAGACACATGTATAAATTAATGATATATAGTTTTGTCTAGAACTTAATTGAAAATAACTAAAGACTGAAGTGTATAATTTAAAAATAGACCAGGGTTTTTTTGAGCAGATGATGCTTAACCCCGAAGCAAACACACACACAAAGACACACGCGCTCTCTCGATGATGAAGATGATGGCTGCAGTGATTAAATTCCTGACCCCCCTGTCGCCTCAGATGGTGTGATATCCTCATGTCATGTACTGGAGGCACAGCTCTCTGTCATGCTACAGCACAGATTAGTGTTTCACAGCACCATCAGCCCCAACGGAACCACAGATTTGAATTTTTTGCATATCTTTAGACAAACCTCAAAACAGATTTAAAGATTTCCGCTGGATGCTGCTCTGCTTCACCTTTTTCCCTCCACCTAAAAAAGTCAGATCTCCCCGCTGACGTGCAAGGAAGAATAAACTAACGTCAGTCCTGCTCGCAATTACCCACAGTGCCCTTATGCTGTCTGGGAAGAATGAAAAGGATTGACGTCTTTCTGGCCATCTGCCGCCCTCCTATTCCTCTCCCATCCCTCGCTCTCTCCTGCCTCGCCCTTCTCTAACTCTTCTTTGAGCGGATTAAGTGCGTTGGAATCTCTGTGTGTCGTTGTCTCATCAATGTGTAAGTGTGCCTATCGAGTGCGGTTTGTCTGTGTGTTTGTTGTAAATCTTCCATCCAGTAATATCTTTGTCTGCGTCTTTAGTCACCAAACACTGACGCGTGTCCCCTTTCGACTGCAAATCCCCCCACAGATTGCACACGTTACTTACAAAGCAGAGTAAACACAGATGAAATGTAGCTATTTGAAATAAATCTCTAAGATTTTATTACATACAATATACACACGACCTGGATCTGCGATTCTGAGTCAAGACTTAAGGATGCGGGGAGCCAGTTGATTAAATCACATTCAAAATGAAAGGCAGTTCAGTGGGGAGGGAGATGAAGTTATTTTTTTTGCAACAAAGCAAGAATTCAAACTGACACGAGAGTAAAATTGAAATTACTAGTAAATTTTAAAACATACGACAAAAATTTAAACAGCATAATGCCTATTCGCATCATTTCAGACATCAGACCACAACAAGTAAATACAAACCATAAATAATATCAACAATATTAACATCAAGAGCGACATAAGTCAGGGAAAAATGAGGTGAATGCAAGAAAATGTAGAGATGTACAGAAGCCATAAGTGGACATACATCCATACATTTTATTAAACTACCTTTATTCCTTGAAACGAGAACATTTTGGCTGTTTTCTTAAAATGTTATATACTGGTTTCTCTGGAAAATAAGATTTCAAGAAAACCGCAGAAATGAACTTGCTGTAATGGGAAAACCAGCCTTGATAATTGCAAGATAACTGGATAATATCGTTAAGTAAGCAAACAATTGAATGTACTCGTTTTATAGAAAACTCGGTAAAATAAAATGTATGTCACTTCTGGTTTCAGAAGAAACCAACATGGCAGCAGTGAAGTACCAACCCCAGGCTGATTTTACACAGACAAGACAGAAACTAATGGGTGTTGTCCAGTGGCCATTACTTTTTACAGTGGATGACCCTGAAGCCATGGAGGTACCGAGCTAATGCAAAACTGAACAGGATCTGTGAGTTTTCAATGCAATTATTCCACCTATCATTACATTTATCAGCCATTACATTATGACCACCTGCGTAATATTGTATAGACGCCCCTCTCATCAAGTCAGGGCTGATTTAGCAATGACCTGATGAGACATGGACTCCACTAGACCTCTTAAGGTGTGCTGGGGTATCTGGCACTATGACTTTAGCAGCAAATCCTTGAAGTCCTGTAAGTTGAGAGATGGAGACTCCATTGATCAGACTAGGTTGTTAAGCACGTCCCACAGATGCTCTATTGGATAGAGTTCTGGGGAATTAGGAAGCCTAGTCAACACCGTGACTCGTTTTCCTGGTCCTCCAGGCAACCTTCTTTCATTGCTCCAAGGTCCAGTTCAATTGCCCATTGAAAGTGCTTTTCGGCAGTGGACAGGGGTCAGCATGGGCTGAGTGGTCTGAAGCTACACAGCCCCATAGACAACAAACTACGATGTGCTTTGTGCTCTGAAACCTTTCTATCAGACCCAGCGTTTGCTCCTGCATCAATGAGCCTTGGCCACCCATGACCCTGGTTCACCAGTTTCTTTCCTTGACCCACTTTTGGTTGGTGATGACCACTGCAGACTGGGAACACCCCACCAGAGCTGCAGAGTTGGAGATGCTCTGACCCTGTCGTTAAGCCATAACAACACACCCTTACCTTTGCCCATTCATCCTGCTTCTAACACATCAACTTCAAGGACAAAATGTTCACATGCTGCCTAACGTAACCCAACCCCTGACAGGTGTCGTTGTAAAGAGATACTCAGTATTTCTCACTTCACCTGTCAGTGGTCATAATGTTATGGCTGATTGGTGTATGTTGTCAAATAAACTAAGAAATTTAAGGGACCTAGTAACCTATTTCACTGAAGAGATACTTGAAACTTGGCATTCGAACTTCCTGGCAGAAACCCTGCGCTCATGGCTGTGCATCAAAAGGCTGGTCAAAAGGAACATCAATATCCACAACATTTTTATAACTGCAGACTCACAAATTCTGTCCTATCAGGCAGAAATAAGCAAGTTCAGACATACAAGAGCAATTCAAGTTTGGGTAGAAATTAGAAATTAAGGAAGAGATGGGTTTTAACATGCATAAAGTAGGGATACAACTCTCCGTTTTCTCTTATTGTGAGAAAAACTAAAGAGCCACAAGCCTGGAATTAAGGGCTAAGGAATTATACAGGGTGTTGCCATTGCAACATTTGAATGTCTGTGCTTATTAAGTAAGCTTTACTTATCCAACAGTTCTTTTATTCAAGAGCAGTGAACCGAAAGACATCGAAAAAGTAGAAATGTAACAGCCAGAGATCCATTGTGGACCTCCACTGGAATCCTGCAGAAGAGTGGAGCTGCGTGTGAAACAGAAACTAATCGATGTGGAAGCTCTTTGGTGATACAAATCCAATCACGGCAGATCGCCCTGTGGGAGGGCTTGCCTCCGATCATAAGCAGTGTCATCACTCTCCTCGCCGTCGCTCACTTCATCCAAAACTCTTTCTCTCTCCTCCTCCTCCTCCGTTTCGCTCTCTCGCCTCAGCCGCTCTCGTTCCCGCTCTCGCTCTCTGTGGGAGCGAGGAATGGTGGAAATCTGAGGAGGCAAAGACAAACACATGAGAGAACGTCGAACCATGTGTTTAACACTAAGTGACATTTACAAATGGACAAGTGCTAAATATTGAAAGAAGGATTTGGAGGGATTGATGCGTTGATCATTTTATATGAGAGAGTTAAGACAAATAGAAACTGACTCATCCATGTGCAGATAATTGACTCTGGTGCTCCATGCTAAAAAAAAACAACTTGCATTGCAACTTTTCCATAAATTGGCAGCAGAATCAAGCATCTTAGGCGTGTACAATCACAGAAAAAAGCCTGCAAATTCCTGTTGGGACTGACCAGTATAAAAAATCTGCACTTTCAGAGCTTCACAACATCCTGGCTAACCATAAACTAATTATTAAAAGCAGAAAGAAGCAGCAGTTAGTGGTTACCTGGTTATCGTGGCTTGGCAGGGCGCAGTAGCCCGGCTCTGTCCTGTGGAGGAGCCTCGGTGAATGAGTGCGGAAAGGTCGGGGGGAATGGGAGTGGGAGCAAACGGAGCGCGGAGAGGGAGAGCGGATGGAGCGAGGTGAAGGAGATCGGACGGAACGGGCGGGTGAGTACGTGATGGATTGGGACTGGGAGAGAACGTGACTGTGGTGGTTTTGTTTAGGCGGGCGGGGGGAGCGAGGGGGCAGCTCGGGTGGTTTGAGAGGGTCGATCAGGTCGATCTCGGTGAGGATCGGGGGCGGGGGGATGAAATCGAGCTCCTCCTCCTCCGGGTGGAGAAGTTGCATTTCGGCTGCGTCGAGTTCAGCAAGCTCAGCCCTTGACAAGTGGTCCACGATGCCCGCACCGAACGAGTCGCCCACCACATTGATGGAGGTACGCATTCTGTCACTGGGTGCATAAACAGTATCAGCATCAGCAAAGGAAACCACCATGAGCTGAAATAATCGTCACCTTTGTATCCCCTGCTACATATATATCTGTTTAAACGTTAATAGCTTCAGAGCAGTGATTTCTCATCCCCACACACCCTCAGCCTATCAGACACCTGACTCACAGCAGCCAGTCGACAGCGATGAGCAGACTGATGTCCTGAGTGGGCAGACCCACAGCCGTCAGGATGAGCAGCATGGTGACCAGTCCAGCACTGGGAATACTGGCAGCTCCGACACTGGCCAGGGTGGCAGTCATACTGTGGAGGAAGAAGAATGAACTGTTATATATAACATAAAACACTAACTAGAGAATGTGGACTTGATAAAGTATTCAGACTCGTCTCAGTCAAAGTTCCATTTTAAGAGCTTAAATCTCAAAAATGTAATTTAAGATTTTTTTTAAGGATCTCTAAGGGAACCCTGTGTTTTGTGCTTCTCACGTTCCTGCCTTCACTGCTGATTAAACCGCCCTAATCAGCCAATTTGTCAAATGAACTTTGTGTGCCCCAGAAACCCTAGAAGGGACAAAGTATCCGCATGATGTCCAATGAAACGGTTAAGAACAGGTTTCAGTGTGAACGACTGAACTTTACATGAATCTGCTTTCTTTATTTGTTGTTCCCTCTAATGGCGCCACCAGACTGCACACAGTCACAGACAGTGAAAATACAGATGTCTGGGTTGACAATGGTTGGAAACAAACAGATCAAATTAACTCATGGAAGAGTCTGGGTGTCACAACAGCGCTCTCAAATTGGTTCTGACGGCTTTTGTGAGGATTCTTTCGGGTCCAGCCTCAACAATGTGGACCTGATTGTTTATTGTGTATTCAAATTAACCCATCTGGCACTATTTGCTATGTCAACAAACATCTAATGCTTTTATTCTCGTATTCTGATGAAATCTATAATTTTCTTCAAATCTGAAACACATTTGATTGTAAAGTGACATTTTTTTTTTTTTCCTGCGACATGCAGTGAGCGCCCAGCCAATCAGAAGTCACACAGCAGTACCCAGAAGACCCTGATGGTCTGCTGTGGGGCTTGTTATGCAAACATGAGGAATTAAGGGAGGAGGTGAACTTAATTTTTTTCCAGACTCGTTGACTTTGCGTTAGCTGATCACAACAAAATCCATTTCATGTGGTTTGGATGTTTTAAAAAAGACATCTTAACTATGCCAAGTGTATTTAGAGTGTTTCAGATCACAACGTATTCATGACATTATGTTGTTAGGTTTTAAAGCCAGATGTGTCAGCATGACTCTTTTTTTGGTCGTATTTGAACCACGACAAAACAAAAACCCTTAATGACTTCTGATCTGTATGGAAACGTAAATCTTAAATACTCCAGAAAGTTGTGACATGCAGTGCGTGCTGGTCTCAGATGGTCCTGCAGGATAGCCTGAACCTTGTTCTCTACCACACGGGATGCTGTTTTACAAAGAGCTTTGTGTGGCGTCTCCATTTTTTTAAGTATACTAGTTATCACCCCACAGAGATCGAGGGATTAAGCCGGACAGATTTACACAACACATATGGATCGCGTTTAAGAACAATTTCCCCTCAAGATGACGCAATAGGCATACAGAACTTTCAGAAAATTGGATTTTAGGATTTGAGTGGGACGCAGCCGCTGATGAAAGACACACAGTAAACAACTTCAGAGAGCTAGCATCATCTTTAACCAGCGGCCACAACATGCAGAGTCTGATCCAAGGAGGCTGGATCCAATCACACATGAATGTTCCGCTGAAACCGCAGAAATGGGACACAAGAGCATCTTGGTAGCTGAGCGGTTTCAGCGCATGCCACGTATCAGCAACCCTGCCACTTCGATTGTGAGCAGCAAACGTTGTTTCACTTCACGCCTTCCTCTCTGCTGTCGTCTCTTTATCGTCTACTGCTGACTAATTAATGTAGAAGACCCAAAATAATCTGTGAGAATGGACACTGATACCTCATTATGTCTTTACTGCAATCATGCAGATGCTGTTCATTCATCTCTCTGTCTTCATCTTAGAAAACATTTTGGGATTTGTTTTGTTGTCAGCTTTATTTGTAACAACGAACATTGAAGAAATACATTTTATGTTCAATTACTAGAATACACCAAGGGCCTCATTCACAGAAAGATTGCACAACTTTTGAGCTTGCCTAACTTGTGCAAAAAAAACACAATAAACACTGCTTGGAGGACTACAGCCTCCATACATGGGGCGTGTGCTCTAACCACTTTACCCCCACGTCCCCTCTGCTTTCTTTTTGAATATGATTATCTTCTGCCTTTAAGTTCCTTCATGCTGCTGTTTAGTACATCCCTCCACCTTCAGAATCATCATCCTTCACTTCATCCATGTGGTCCCATCAAGTAATCAGACACTACCACCCTCACCCCAAATATGTGATTTTAGCATACCGTAAGTGTAACGAGGCAAATAGCCAATCGCTCAATCAAGCGATTATTGTAAGATTTCAGGGGTGGCCGTGGCCCGCCCCTGGATCCGCCCCTGGATTGTGACACTCCTACACCTTACCTGACAGTGATGATCTGTCCGGTGTCCAGGTCGATGTCATTCATCTGGGCAATAAAGATGGCTGCCACGGCCTCATACAGGGCCGTGCCGTCCATATTAATGGTGGCACCTATGGGCAGCACGAAGCGAGTCACGCGTTTATCCACCTTCAGATTCTCCTCCAGGCAGCGGAAGGTGACGGGTAACGTCCCTGCGCTGAGAAAAGAGGAAAAAGGCCACACAAGATGGCGAGTTTAAATTGTTTTTTTTGTTTTTTTTTTGCAGATGCGCGGATAGCAGGAGGAAAGTGTTTGCTGGAGGCCATAAAATAAGAAGACAGGTGTTAAAAAGAAAAAGTGCAGAGGTGAGGAGGGAGGTGAAGGGAAGAAATTTGAGTTGGCTGACAGCTTCATGCTAACAGCTGGTGTGGGCCACTGTTGCAATCCTCCAACATGTGAATTAAAGGAATTTGATTCCCGGCTCCTGCTAAGCTGGGGTCATAATATAATTAGAGAAAAGGTTGATAGGATTACCCACGTTCACTAAAGCCTCAGTAATGTGCCAAACTGACAGTTGGTTTTACTAGCAATGCAGGGTCCCAGGCAGGCCAAGCCAGGCAGGATAGAGCGGGGCCAGTTTGGCTGGCGACGGCTAATCCAAAGGCTTACACATTTACAACACAGGATCTGTCTGACATGGACTTGTCTATGATAGCTGGTGCTTACACACATTTGGCTCTGCTGCCCTGATCATTCTGTATTAGCATAAATACAAAAATGTCCCCCTTCGGCCCTCTCAGATTCGACCCAAATAGCTAAAAGCGAGCAGCAGTCAATGTCAATCAATCATGGTAACTACGGCAGCTGCTCGAGGGGAAGATGTTGTAAAAGAAACATGTGACACACATGTGTTAACACTTGCCAAAACAGAGCTTCCACACACACACACACACACACACACACACACTCTCATGCACACGTCCTGCAGGCTCTCCTACCTGCTAGCAGTGCCCAGAGCTGTGATCCAAGCCTGGAAGATTCCCGAGTAGAAGGTGAGGGGGCTCTTTCTGGTGATGGCGAAGAATATAGCAGGTAGGATCAAGCCGCCGTGGATCGCCAGGCCAACCATGACAGTCACCATGTACATGCCCAGCTGTCGGGCGACCATCTCCAGGTCTCCGATGGCGGCGATCTTTCCGGCAATCAGAGAGGCGATGCCGGCAGGAGAGTACCTGAGCACACAGTCAGAGTAACCAATCAGAGCTGAATATATTCTTCATAAGGCCGATTACTTCATTAGTATACTTCTTTACACTTTATATAAGTTTTTCTTTTTTTCTTTCTTCAATTCACAGCATCAGGATAAAGTTTCAACTTTATTTCAACCATTTTGCAATTTATTTAACGCAAAACACTTTGAAATGTCTGGTTTGTCTCTAACCGTCTCTCATTTTCAATCAACTCATTATTTGTATAGCGCCAATTTAAAACAAATATTGTTAAGACAGGCTACACAAAAAGAGCAGATCTTACTCTTTATTATATTTGAATATAGTGTGTTTGAATTTAACAAGGAAAATGTATTCAAGCACTGCAACTCATAATTCATTTCGTGTTGTCTCCTAGTGTGAGTTATAGTCAAGTGGCAACAACCAGTGCCATTGGTAGTTGCAGATATATTGTTATCTCTTGTTTTCTATAATTTAAAATCAACATGGTTGTACACTGGACTTTTGTTCGACAGTAACAAAAGATCTGAGGATGCTGACTCTGATTCTAGAGGTGAAAAATTATCAATTCACAAGTTTTTTTTAAGACTTCACTATTAAAGGCAGGGTTGATCATTTTTGAAAACTAGCATGATTTTTGAAAGTAGCATTCCCTCAGTGCTGCGTCTGCACCCTGCCCCCCCCCCCCCCCCCCTCTGTGCTCTGTGCTCCCTCATGCAAGGGGTAAAGAATGAGCAGGGGGACAGAGAGGCGTGATTGGTTCATCAGATTGGTACCTCGTGGCAGACATTGGTCGAAGTTTTTACAGGCTTACAACTTCTACAGATGACAGATTTTCTTTGTTCCTTTTTCAGAGAACAGGAGTTATTAATGTCTGTCAGGACCTAAAGACAATTTCAACCAAAATCTTAAAAAGTGGATCTGGAGAAAATGACCATCCCTGCCTTAAAGCAGAATGAAAAATGTCATATTTATCGATGGCTAAAGCACTGGAAGGGATATTTCTTTGCCTGTTGATGCACTTATTTGATTAAAACCAGTGTAGGCCAAGAAAACAACCTTTCATTATTTCAGTGACGCACGTGTTTCATTACGGACAATCACCTTATCAATCAGAATTCACTTTAAAGGGGCAGATTTCATTACTTGAGACATTCTTGGATCTCTGGTTTCCAGCTTCGGAGTGCAGTTGTTCCCGTTCATGAATACAGGCTGCTGTGGGACACATGAATTAGAGAAGTGTTCCCCTTTAAGCCGTTCCCGGGGTCGGTCGAAACGGGTTTCATCATAACAGCGGCCCTGCTTTAATAGGTCAGCTGCGTGCTGAACCCCGAGCTTGGCATTCGTAGACAGTTGTTTGGTGGAACACGCCGTGGACATGGTTTGATGGATGCGTGTTTTTGTATACACTGGACTCTGTGTTTGGCTGGCTCTGAGACCCGAGTCTGTTTATACTGAGTGAGTGATCCGAGCAGGGATACATCTCCTCTGGCGTCCAGCTGCACATGTATGGCCTAGGAGAGCCTCAAGACAAGCATCCTGCTGTCTTTTTTTTTACATTTTCAACCGCCTACCATTCTTTTCCCTCGCCGTCCCTCCTTCCAGCACGACTTTTCTCTATTTCTCTGGGCGACTAGCTGGGATCCTGCGAAACCTCAAGGCCTGCACTCCTCGATGAAAACACGCTCTCACATGCATCTCTCCAAGTCCCGCTGTCCCTCCCGCCTGCATCTGCTTTCTGCTCTGATGCCAAGTGGTTCCTCTGCCATCAGTGAATCTATTACATTTTGGAGATCTTCCATGTCATGTCCCCTGGGACCACCACAACATTGTTCCGGGCCCCGGCTCCTGCTACTCCCAAGCATACCACAGACTCCAGCATGTGCCAGGGAAACCCTCTCTCTTTCTCTCCCTGTCTTGCCATCTGTCTATGTCCTTCATTGACACACTTTCTCCCCTCTCTTCCTTTCCTTTCCCTCGCTCACAGCCTCCGACGTCAAGCTTGTTCCCACTATTTGTCTCACGTACACAGTCCCGCCTTATCCATCACTGTCACTGACCTCTGTGTGTTGTGTCTCCAGAATGTCAAAGCAATGCAGCCGTTAGCCAACATGAGCAGAAACAGACACATGTTGTGCATGCTTGCAAACACACACACACACACACACACACACACACACACACACACACACAAGCTCACAGGGGGAAAAACAAACACTGACCACATGATCATGGAAACCATCGTCATGATGATCTCGTTGAGGATGTTGAAGAAGTCGCACATGACCCTCCCCCGCTCGCCCATCCGGCCCATGCAGATGCCGAAGGTGATGAAGAAGCCGATTAAACCTTGAGGGAAGACACAAAGCAGAATGAGACTGGAAACTCCATCATGCAGCGGAGAAAGGTACCAAGGTTCTCAAAGCAAAGGAACAAATATGAGATGATTCAGAGGGCCTTAAACAAAAGAGAAACCAAAAGTGTCATCAACTTACCGAGGACGTTCATGCCCCATTTGTATTCCAGTGTCTTTCTGTTCACTATGATGGGCTCAGTTTGGTTTGGTGCTGCCACTGACTCCTTTTTCAGCACCGTCTGAACCTGAAGGGAGGAAAAATAAGGGGATGGGACGTGCATATTTATTTATTATCTGTATAAAAACAAGAGTTGCTTGGGGCGCGCTGGTGGCGCAATGGTTAGGGCGCACGTCTCATGTGTTGAGACTCTCATCTTGAGCAGTAGGCCCGGGTTCACTTCCACCCATGGCCCCTTTCCACATGTCATTCCCTGGTTTCCAACTCTATCCACTGTCCTGTCTCTGCATTAAAGGCACGAAAAAGCCCAAGAATAAATCTTTAAAAAAAAAAAAAACAAGATTTGCTCGTCAAAAAGTCTTTCTCTAAAAGTTAACCTTCAAAAAGGGGGTTGTCTTTTATTCGGACTAACACTTGAAGATAATAGCTTACTGGCTAATGCTAGCTATCCACAGATGCAGCTGGGTAGCTGAGGACCTGTTTAGCATATCAACAGTGGAGATGCGGGAGTAAAAAAAGCTGCAGCTACAACAAAACATGGAGATAACTAAAAATGTTTTTTTTTCTTCATGACAATTTTGTTACAAACATTTACCAGCAATGTGGTCGATAGCACTCTGAGCGTTTGTCTCTCTGCGGTTGTTTATTTTGGAGCCTGACTTACATGATTCTAAGTCACAAAGCAAAACCATAATTGTTACTCATTCTCTGTGTGTAAACAACAATAGCTTGGCAGCACCAACGTAAAGTCATTTTTTTTGTTTAAAAAAGGGTAAAACAGAGAACTGGAGGTTCCAAACAAAGTGAAAGAAAAGAGAGACAGGCGAGTTGAAAGGGTAAGAACGAGTCCTTCCTGCAAAAGCAATTATGTCTTTTATGACTACAATGAATCCCTGATGAGTACAAACAAAGGAGACAGTAAAACAGACAGGAAAGTGATTTAAAGAGAGTTATAGAGAAAAAAGGAAAATGCAGAGAAAGCGGCAGGTTGGAGAGAGAGCAGCAGTCTTTAAGCTGAAGCCTCACTGTGGACAACAGGGATGTAGCACTACAGATGTAAAGGGATTAGCAGTAACAGAAGGGGCCGACCCTCACCCAGCTCAACACAGACAACTGCTTCTCATCATTCAGACTCACAGAGCGGAGAGAAGAGGGAAAAACATCATGATTGAGTCTGGGATTAGTCGCTTAAAAGTGACCAGGTTGCATAAACAGTAGCCGTCTACTTCCTATTCTCATCTATACCAACATTAGTATCTACCTGTGGATCATAACATACATCTTTTATTTATGACCTCCACTGAAGAGGTCAAGCTTCAGTGATGTTTGTCAGCAAGAAACATAAGACACCACCTCATTGGCTATTGTAGGCGGGAAACAGTGAGTGGAAGCTTGTAATTGGCCAAACGAGATGTCAATCGAAAGGTCAGAGTGCAGCCATCGTTTGACGTAATCCAAGTGAAGAAATTCATACAATAACTTTAGTAATGAAAGTAAAACTGTGAAAAAAACATGACAAATCAACATGAAAATATGAAGCAATCCAAGGATCGTTATGGATATAATGTGTTCTGGATTAAATCTTTCACTGGATTTGGATCGTGGGGACCCTTTCTGATTCAGCAGGACTGTTTTTGTTGGAGTGCTATGACTGGTTGAGTACAGTAAATCCTCAAATGGTGATACAATCATTTTAGCGTAGTGTTTTCGTCGTTGGTCTGACAGATGTGTAGATTGTTGCTGCTGTGGTGGTTGGATCTTTAAATTGTATAGATGGTCAGAATCGCACAAATCGTATCTTCCTAGCAATTTATGGCATTAGTAATATTGATAGCAGTTGTGTACATATTGGAGATGATAAGGAAAACACATCCGGAGACAACGACTGTCCTGTGGACGGGCCGTTGGACCTTCACCTGTTAAAAAATGTCCAAAAAAACTACAAATTCTGTGAAGTGAGGGCCTAGCTTATGTTGCTTCTTTTATCCAACCATCAGTAAAGAAACAGAAAACTTAAATGCAATGAAATATAAAAACAGAATGGTAAAAATTGCTAGCATACTAGAAGTTGTAACCTGCAAATATTTAATGTACAACTTCTCAATCGACTCATTGTTTCCCTGTTTCCTCAAGAACATTTATTTTTCATTTTTTATGAGCTCAGCTTTTATTTCCACCAACTAAATCTTGGCAATTACACTTCAAAGGATGCTCTCTTCAACAGAAAGCAGCCTTGGCCTTTTGGGCCTTTTTCACTCACTACTCACACATGTAGGAAACATTGTGTTCGGCTTTGGAGGACGACTGAACACTCCTGAGATCACATCAGTCGTTAACAACTCTCTGTCCTGCTTTCATTTTGTCAAACCGCTCAGTTAATACCTTGAACAGATGATGGACTCTGACCTTTCCTTGTTCACAGACAGGGATCTTTATCATTATTTGGTAAAGATCAATAACAGCTTTTGACCATTGGTGAAAAACTCCACCTCAAGGTCCATTCAGTAGCCGTTACAGAGCTTTACATCAGCAGTTCCCAGTTTTTTTTTACAAGAGAGCAATCAACACAAAGGAATTATTTCTCATCAAAGGGTTCATACCTTCACCCAAATTTGGTTGGGAGTCATAGAAATATAGATGTCCTGATTTATACACTTTTAAGGAGATAAAGGGAATTTCTCTTCATGTGTATTTAAGTTCATTCTTGACCATAAAAATGTGATCTTTAGTTGATGACAAACGTCATGATATAATCGATGTCTCCACACAGCCAATATACAGATATCGAGATGATTCTAATAATCAGCTATTTCCTGAATGAAGATCAGTTAGCATTTGGTTAAATGCACATGCTGGATGTGTGAAAACAAACTAATTACTTGTTTCTACTAATACACTGGTATTAGCCAAATAAAGAGTTATTTATCCTTTTTCAGTTATATCTGTATTTTGGTGCCTTCAACCTCTAAGAGTGGATAAAAATTAAGAGGAAAAACAAACACAGGTATGTATTAGATGCTTAGGTTACCTGTTGGAAGCAGGCCTGCACCAGGTTCTCAGGGAAAAGGTTTCTGAGCAGGTCCAAGAAGGCGTCCAGACTGCTGACCTCCTGGTTCTTCGGGGCTGAGTTTGACGCACCTGACCTCAGTTTGGGGTTCCCGGGGTGGATTCCAATCACCAGGATGACCCCGAGGATGGCAGCAATAATGGTAGTGGACATGTAGTACACCATGGCTCTGCTACCCATCCTGCCACTGGAGCGGGCATCCAGACCAGCCAGCCCTAAGGAGGGCAGAAGACCATCGGTGTTAAGATTAACTAAATTACTACTCACTTCAGAAAGCTAATGGGCTGAATGCTGATTTAAAAGTGAGATCGTGAGCTGGATATCATGCATAGTTAGTTAAAGTTAAATTGTGTTTAAATGTGTTATGTTCTTTGATGTGTTTCAGCAAAATGCAAACCCATTCTTCACAAAAGCCTAACCCTAACCCACCCTGAAATATAGGCATGAATTATTTTTAAATAGGTATCTCATCTTCTACCACACAGCTAAAAAAAAAGGAAGCAATAACACTAACGACCAACATACTTCAGGTGTAAAGAAAATATGTTGGCTGTCAGCCTAAATAACAAAACCTGTTCATATTGTCCTTGGGTTATTGCACATTTATTTGGTACATACTGCGTATGTGTGTGTAGTGGCACACCTGTGATGAGGCTGGAGATGATTAGAGGCAGAATGAGCATCTTCAGCATCCTCATGAGGATGTCTCCTGGGAAGGAAACCATGGTGAGGGCACTGCTGTCCGTCACCTTCATGTACCGCAGCAGCATCCCAAACACCGCACCCATAACAACACCTGAGGACGGGAGCTTGTGTTTAACATACAGTGTACTTTATACTAAAAACTGATGCTCGCCTTGGTTGCTAAAATGTTTCTCTTGTCTTTATATTAATACTATTAAACAACAACAGCAACCTAGCTCTTACACTGTAAACGTAAAAACGGGCTGTAGCCGTTTACCACAGAAAACAGGATATACATCGTGGGTTTCACAGCCCCTACATACCCAGAACAGTGAGGCCCAGCAGCAGGTTGTGGGTGTTCCGACTACAGTGGCCTGCATCTTTATATGCGACGTCTGTGTTGTCATCTCGCTGGCTTTCCTCTTTCTCCTTCACCTTGTTTGTGTTGGACTGGTTAGCTGTCGACTGGTTTGTCATCCTGTCTGTAGAGACAGTTACAGATTGGTTTACTGCTGGGAGATATATTCTTCTGCATCATTCTGCACTTGCAGGCCTGCACAGTATTCAATATTATTACAAATAAAATGTAAACAAAACATAATTAGATATTCACTGATTTGCCTCACTGGATTGTTAAAGGACCATCAAAGCATTCTTCTCATGTGGCTGGTTAGAATTCACATTTTTGCCATATTGAGTGGCTGCTTCTGTTCCTAAAGTGGGGTTGGGGACTAGCAGGGCTACCCACCACTCAGTCACGCTCCAGGAATGTCCTTTTTTCTATTTGGTTTGAGTTAGTGACGTTAAGAAGCATAACTGCAGGCAACCCAAACACAGCAGGAGATCGCTAAAAAGGACATGAAGAAACATCTTGAGAGATGTAATCTATAATCATTCACAAGATGGAAAAAAACTAAACAGAAACCACAAGAATCCAAATACATCAGCACTCAATGTAGATGCTGATAGAGTAATATATATAGATTGAGTGGAAGATAGATGTTGGTTAAATCCATGCTGGACAAGTACAGGACAGAATGGGACTGAGAGTCTACAGCAAGGTAAGCAGCCTTCTGAAGCTGTTCTTAAAGACAGTGGTGCTTTAAGCTAAATGCTAACATCAGCAGACAAACACACTGAGAATACTAGCAGGCTGGAGATCAGCAAGTAATGATAAATAACTGTGTGTGACAACTTGGTGTCAATGCACCTCATAGATATTGAGATATTCCATTGAATATTTTAAACATTTTCTCTCTGGTTAAACTCAACAACCAGCCAGAGGATCAATACAATATCTTGTATTCTCGTTATTGGCATTAGGTATCTGTACTCATGTTGATGAAAATCTATCAAACATTTGGGAAAATACAAAATCTGAGCATCAATGTGGCATTAGATATGAATTCATTGTAGTACTAATATCATTAAGATTCATCATATTGTGTTGTTTGCATGTCATTTGACAACACACAATAACAGACATTGCTAGCATTGGATGAAATTCTTGTATTATGTGTGTCCAAATGCTATTTAGAAGCTTTATAATATGAAAGGATACAACTAAATGCAGAATAAGGGAGACAACATTAAGTACACATCAGTCTGAGAGCATTTAAGAATTTAACAAGCTTGCAAAAGACATCTATTCTTGAATTTGGCAAAAAAAACTCTCCAATAAACATACATCATTTGGAAGCAATGAGATTTTGTTCCAGACAAAGTCTTCACCTTCAACAAAGAGGAAGCGTCAACGAGTAAGAATGTGTCCGCTGTCCAGTATCACATACCGCATATCTACTCGGCAGAGAAAACTGAAGAGACCCCATCACCATCATGTCTAAACATTAATCCTATATAAACACATCTGGAGAGAAGCGCAGCCATGCCAAATCTCTGCAAGAAGTATCAATGTCACATTTACACTCAGTCTGACTCAGTGAGACAATTGCAATCAGAAATGATTACCATCCATCAGCTGAGCAACACTGGGGACACAGTTAAACACATAAACTAAATCACACTTTTCAAGAGGGAACACACAAAGAAAGGTTACCTCGTTGGTCTGTTCTCACAATTTAAACCGCCACTCTCTAATCTTCTACTTTATCTTGCCATATCTCTGCCTCTCTCGGGTCGCTGCAACAGTCGCCAGTCCAGACATGAAGGCGGATTGCCAGTGTGGTCTGAAATTGTATATTTTGTAGGCGGAGAATGTCCTGATAAGTTTCAATTGCAAAGAATTAATCCTCAGTGAACGAAACACCCAGGAGAGGAGGGGGAGGTTGTTCAACGGCTAGTAGTCTGCACAAATCCTCTTTCCAATCCTTATGTCATTCTTAGCATGAACATTGTTTGGTAATGTCAGTCGACCACATATGCTTCAGTTGTAAAGCAGTCTATAATCTAGCTGGGGAGGGGGAGGGGGGATATAACATCCTCAATCTATTGAAAGTGATCTAATAGGCAACGTTATAATAATAATGTTAACTCCAGGTTTCGCCGTTTTTATTATAAAAAGACATTTTCTCTTTAGATCAACGAGGTTCTGAAACCTTGTAGGGTGGGTCAGAAGCTTGGTTGAAAGCCAGTTTCTGGGCTTTGGAATAATTTGGGCAATTCAGGTTATTCTACAATGACATCCAACAATTAAGGAACTTCAGTCAGTCCATTTTTTTATCACTTCTTTCCAGTTCCCTGGACAACCATTCATCACACTAACCTCATGCTTGCCAGTCACATTGCTGAGCACTCAAGGTTGAGCAGCCAAGCAATCTGCTTGTTCCAAAGGGGGGCAGGACATGTTCCAAATGGTCATGCCCCACCCAAAGAGTCAACCATTTGCATCCCAATTGAAAAAAAACTGTTTTCCAAAATTTTGATTAATTCTCACCAAACAAAGAAAAGAAAATCTGTGGAAAAAACGTCTTCATGTCTTAATTGTCCTGCATCGTTGACTTTATTTCTTTTTATTCCAGTTGTATATACCTCTTATTTCATTTGTATTTATCTCATCTTTTCTGTTTCCATTTTTATTTTGAACAACTTACCTGGTACTTGTCTTTGTGTTGCTGCGATGCCAGAATTTCCCCTCTAGGGATCAATAAAGTATTATCCAATCAGAAAATGTACCTTTAGTGTTTTTGCTATTCTATACTGTTCAGCTATGGTTGGCTCTACTAAAAAGCTAGCAGGAGGTCCTATATTACAACTGTAATTTATCCTTAACTATCGCAAACAGATTTGTGCAACTCTAATGTCTGAGTGATTATAACAAATGTTGTTCCATTTGGCCTAACTTTAAGGGAGGCATCTTTTTCTCTGTTTGTAAGACTGTCCTTTGTATATCTCAGGAATATATAAAACAGAGGTTCTTAACAACTCTGCAAGCAGAGATCCAAGCAGCTGGACTATTCCCAATGGGAACATTGTCTGGACAGATCTGCTGAGAATAGGCATTGCACTTGTGTATTCAAAAAAAGAAAAGGTCATGAACTTACAACTTCACATGTATAAGAAAACCTAAGACCTGGTTACATGTATCAGAGATAAAAATAGAGATGTTTTTCATCATTGCTAGCAGTAAAAGCTGGAAAATTAAACCTTTTTTTCCCTGAGCAGGTCAGATGGAGTCCCTGACATAATGAAGCAACAGCATGTGTCCTGGGAGGATGGCGGCGCTGAGGAGTGTAAGCTGCTAGGACACACTCAAGGACCTGAAGCTGCTCGGAAAATCTGACTTCCTTCTGCAACAGACAGATTACTTTCCTGCTCCAGGAAATGTAAGAGCTGCCTTGAGACAAAACATAGCTGGCCTCTAGGAACTGGCTCTTACTGGACTGTCTTGGTGGCTCCGTCAAACTGTGGAAAATGGATACTTTTTACAACCGTGTAAGGTTGAATTTCACTCCTTCGTTATTCATGTCTTGCCTGAAAAGTACTTACCAAGTACTTTTCAGAAACAGATGCTGATCAGACTATCTAAGCGCCAGCCAAAAGAGAACTGACTGCCATACGTATGCTTGTTGCATCATATTACAGCTTAGTGTAACCCAGGGTTACTAGTGCCATTATCTTCTCACTTTTATTATTTAGATATTGAAAATAGTGTAATAAATTGATGTAACTTGTAACAAAACAGTTATTATTAATTAGACAATCAAACTAAAATTATCTGTAAAACGACAGCTTTAATATAAGAAAAGTGTTTTGTTAAATACTGTTTTGTGTATTAAATGCTAATAAACATATGTGATCGGTCAACCCACCTGTCAATCTTAATGTCATGTTGACTAAATTAGCCAATCTAAAATAAGACCCGCTCACATTTCTCCGTGTCTGAGCAGAATCTCCGAGAGTAGTTCTTTTTGGAACGAGACGGAGTGGCGGTGGCTGCGTGGAGTTACCTTACATGAGAAAAAGTTGTTGAAGTGATTTGTGTTCCTTGTTACGCGTTTGATGTGCTGTGACTGGAGGTGGTAGGCAGTGAGAGGCTCATTGTTGGAGCTGCAGTCTGCGTGCGGGCTGTGGTTTTGGCGGTGGACTTGTTATTGTTTGTAGCCTGATGTTGTAGTATGTTCAAGTGGCGCTAATCACAGAAAAAATGAATTGTTTATATATGGTTATGAATGAGAGTACAAGCGCTGTAATCTAATGATCAAGCTAACTATTAAATATAGGTTAATCTGAATAAGATGACAAATTATTTGGTGTTAAATTTGTTTATTGAAAAGAATGTGGCATACAGTGTGTTTTACATTGTATTTCATCTGAGTCCTTTGTCATGACAAAAAATGACAAACGCTGTTGATATTTAATGTCTAATTTAAAGTTCAAGCATTAATTAGGCTTTTAACTGTTTTTGTCAAGGCCGGGGTTTTTTTGTGAGTTGGAGAAGAAAGATTCCATGATCCCTGTTTGTCTGCGACCTGCTCATCCTCCCTGGAGTGCTGTGGTCGTTTGCAGTCTGGCGAGCCATCCATCCATTTTCGAACCCTGAAAGAAGGAACAGTTTATATTCAATTCAATTCAATTAAAAAAAACTTTATTTGTCCCCGGGGGGCAATTCAAAGGCACACAGAGCAGTAAATTAACAACAGTGCAAGTAAACAAAACATTTTAACCTAAATATAAAGTGTCAATTTAAATACAACTTGAAGCTTAAACTTAACTTAAAAATACAAAATATAAAAGAGTAGATATAAGTGGACAGTGATCGGACTAACAGATGTAAACAGATGTAACCATAACTCTGTGCAGTAGTGACCAGATGTAAACAGAACTATGTGCAGTAAGCTTGTTTATTTTCCCAACTACGTTGGTGGTAGGACTATAGACTTTGATATAGTGGTTTAAACAACCATAAGGACCCGAGTAAATCTTTGTTGTTTGTTTGTTTTTTTATTTTTATTTATTTAATGATTTGAGGTTCAATATTCATATGTCTGGACACACTGCAGCCGCTTCAGTGTCACATCAGTGCAAGCGTGCAGTGTTGTAAAGTGCTCAGCCAGCATGACACAAAGGTCCCTCCAAGGCGTAGACGCATTTGCGAACACCTTGATTATTATTGTGCAGTTGGTCTCACACTGTGTTTTGAGCAGCACCAGGATATTCCTCCAGACAAACTTAACTGTATCTGCTATGTGAGCATCCTCAAGGTCGCATGTCAGGATCCCGATCTTCTCTTCTCCAAGCTATCAGTGGGTCGATAACTCAGGCCACGATCGTCTGGTATGTGCTCAGGAGTGTGTTGAACACAACTTTGTGAGATCCCTCAGCAAGGCAGCTGTATCGCTTCTCAGATTTTATCAGCTCATCTGTCTTTTGTGATAGATCACCGAGATCAATGATGAAGTAGTGAGCTGTTTCCGAGAGCAGTCTAGGGAATGATCCACAGAAGTAAAGAACAGCCCACCTGATCACGGATTTGGCCAAAGACGATCCTCACTGTGCAAAAATGCTCCTGGCGGCAAAGAAGACACCGTGATCCATCACAATGATCAGATCCCCAAAAACATCTGGGTGCGCAAGCAGTGAGCCTAAGCCCCTGATCGCTGCGTTGTCCATTGACGAGAGCAAAGAGCATATTTGGTGACCCAGCATTTTCCCTCCGGATGTCGGGTGAACCAAAAAGTAAGGAAGGCAGCTCCTCAGAAGCCTTCCCACCAGCCCCTTCAGGACTTCTAGCTTGTCAGCGAGTTTGAGGTCATTAAGTAACCCGCTTGAGATTGTCCCCAACCCTGCCGTGTCTTCTCCCAGCCCCGCTCCTTTGAGTTGGAAAGTGATCTTGTCAGCAAGCACAGCTCCTAGGATCTGGGACCCTACAGTGAGCAGTTTTTCGCTGCTCCAGTTCGGGAAGTCAAGGCTATCACTTGCTTTGATGACCTTTCTGATTACCTCTGCTTGCAGGTTTGTGACTGGAGAGGGATAGTACATTAAGCGAGACTGGCTGCTTGGTGCCTTGATTGGGGGCAGTTGACCCATCGGATCACACTTCACAGTCTTCATGACTCGAAGGCAGCAAGTTTCCTCTATGTGCACGTGCACTTGTAAGCCTTCAGGTATAGGACCTTTGTAGTCCTTGTATATGTCCTCGAGTGTACCGTTAGCATGCAACATGATATTTTGGTAGATGATATTTGTGTCATCTGCCAAGGAAATCTCCCACCCACTCATGCGATCGTTCGAGGTCATCACATGTCGACCGATAGAGACATTCCTTGCTGTCGAGAAGAACATCTGAGTTGTTTTCTCGTGGAGCCGGTGAGCGTTGTTGACTGAACTCGAAATAGAGGTTAGTGCTTTGAGTTCCTCAAGAGTAAATGCTGCACGAGAACAAACTAGCTCCTTCGCTACCAACCAGCTGTAGTGTGATGAGCCAAATATCCATGTGAAGAGCATGACTATCCTGACAGCTCTTCTTGCAGGACGGCTTAGGCCTGGGACCTTGTGCAGGGTTAGTGCGGTTCTTTCATCTGTGTCGAACCCTACATAAGGCACCCGAACGAATCGGCCAACCCCGAATTCTGTTCTCACATTAGTTCCCTCGGATATCCAAGCCCACGTGTAGCAGTTCTGCTCGTCTGGACATCCTGGGGATCTCTCAGTTACTGTAACAATACTGATTGTTACAGTATTGAGATTTAAGTGTGGCTGTTCGGCACTGGTGGTGAGCTAAAAAGATGTCAGGAGGCAGAAATCAATGCAAAATAAGGTGGTTGATTTATTAACCA